ATATATATATATATATATATATATATATATATATATATATATATATATATACAGTATAGATATATATATATATTCTATATCTGAGTATTTTGTTATTGTATCTTGCTAATTGTTTGCATTTTGTTTTCATTGCCCAGCAGACGAAGGGAACTTATGATGTTTCAAGTGGAATTATTAGTTGTTTGTTTGTTTTTTCGGTTTAGTTTTTTGATAAGCTCTATCTCCATCTATTTAGTTCGTATTTCTAGTTAATTATTACCACATTTATCTGGGCCAAAGGAAATTATCATCTAGACAAGAGAATGTCTGCAGTAAATAGAGGAGTTATCTCTAAGCCAAATCATATGACATCATATTTTCAGTAAAATTTCACTTTCCGCTAAATCCAAGACGTAATTCCTATTTGATTCTTTCGTTTAAATAGACTTGTGTATTATTATAAAAATATATATGTTTATTTATTTATTTACTGTATTAGAATATCATTATTATTTTCTCTGATTTTTTTATGTTTATACATATTTTTATTTCTGAATATTTGTTTTTTTTTTAATTAGTTTTTACATTTAAAATATATATTTTAAATGTTTCACTAACATATTACAAATCATTACAATATTTCAATATGAATAATTTATATTTGATTGTTGAACATATCCATTTGGTAGCATCAGCCCCCAAGCGAGTTTATTCCACTCGCATGTTTTTAATGAAACACAAATCAAATTGTTTAAAAGTAAAAAATTGTTGTGCAGGCAACTTGAAAATTTAATTCAATTCATTTTTAATTTTTTTGTTTGTATTTTTTTAGTTATTTTGTATTTCGAAAATGGCGCAAAAAACGTGAATGAAATATATATGATATAGAGATTTATATAAAGATAAATATGGCATAAAAAGCTCAAACGATTTTAAACAACTTAACAAGAACAAGAGAAAAGGAAACAATAAATGGAAATACAATAAATAAACAAATACAAACAGATAGCATAATACACTCAACCGCCAAGCGGGGCGCAAAAACATTTTCAGCTTTTTAATTAAATCATGTTTTCCACACCAAAAACAATAACTAAACAAGTAACTAGTATTGCTACGGCACTGCTCGACTAGAAGATACCCTATGTGTAATGCACATATCTTCTCTATATGATTCTTATACTCCATTTCATTCATACACCTGCGATATCTTCTGTAATCTTCTGTGTATGGGCACAACCTCAAATATCAATCGAATAACAACCAAGTTTGTAGCACAAATGCCGAGAGAGATATATAAATGCGATAGTCATAATAATTCGACTATATGAGCATTTCAGGGGCACGCAGAAGAAGAAGCAGAAACAGAATCAGATCTGACAAACAGTTCTATATAATTAAAAGTTGTTAGCCGCACGCGCGATAAGCAGATAAACCAGAGTTAATTGAGTTCCGTTTGGCATAAGGTAACAGGTAACAGTTACAGCAATTAAATCATTTATGCTTCACACTTTTTTCACTTTTATCTCTTTTTTATTTCATTCGCTGTTGCGTCAAAGATTACGCATAAATTATTTAAAAACTTGTGAATTTGTTTTCGTTTTTCATTTTTGCATTTCGAGTGAGTCAACAAAACAAAATAAAATCGAAAATCGAAGCTGGCTGCAGCCGCGGAGCTCTTTATGAATCATTGAAGCCGGTTTTTATTTCACCAAAAAAACCAGATCAATTACATTTATTTTTATGAAAATATTGACAATTAATAACAAAACACAATACACTCACTTTAATATTTTTTGGATATTTACTTCAATTTTTTTGGTATTTGTGAAATATGACGCAAAAAGTGAAGTTTGTTGTCAAAAACTTTTCGGTGTAGCACAAAAAGCCGCTGAACCGCGCGCGATCGTTGCTTGAAGACGAATGACAACGGCAAAGGCAGCCGATCGTAGCGTTAAAGTCAGAGAGAGAGAAAGAGAAAGAGAGAGCACGAGATAAGGCAGTTGAAACAGAGGGAGAGAGAAAAGGGAGAACGGAGCAAAGCGAGCGAGCGCTTGCCACTTGCAGAGAGCGCGGCGTGCCACACACAAACAATCAACAGGTAAAACGAAAGGTGAAAATGTATACAAAGCGAGCGAGAGAGAGAGAGAGCGTAGCTCTCCCTGTGCGTGTTCGTGTGTGTGTGCGTGCTGTGGCTGATAAGATAAAAACGCAAAAACAAAAAACAACAAAAAACGCGCCAAACTCAAATTTTAATGAAGTCAAAGATTTGCACAGCCAAAAGAATAGCGAGAAGAGGGTATGATAGACATGAAGAGTGCTAAAAGAGTATATGGGTGGAATATTGTTTGTATATATAGAATATACAAATAAATATATATGTGTAAATATATACATATATATATATATATATAGTTTGTAGTTCTATATTTAGGTTGCATGCCACAGCAACAGCAGCAGCACGCAAAAACAACAACAACAAAACTGGTTACTCCAGTTGCCCAGATAATCTGGGTGACGGCTCCAACAACAACAACAAACAAACAAGCAACAGGCATCGTTCGCCGATTCTTGCGCTGATTTTCCTTTTTAGCGCCCCAAAAAAAAATTGAGAAAAAATAAGCAGAAAAAAAGCGAAAATCAGGCGCAACAGAAAGCATATACAAAATGCAGCAAAAACTTGAAGCCAGAAAAAGGCTGCGACCAAAACAGCTGTAAGCAAGCTAAGCTGAAAAAAGCTAAACTGTGCAGCCGAAAATAAAAAGTTGACAAAATAAGAGCCAAAAGCAGCAGAGAAATTTCGGAAAACTCTTTATAAACAGTTTATAAGCAGACTAAGCTTAGAGCAAATAAGACTGAATAATAATGATTGTAAACAACCAAAAATAGCTAAAAAACAATGCTTACAGTAAGTGGGAAATAAAAATAATAATAATGAGATGAAGGTCCAGAATCACGGACGAAATATGAGAGCCGCAAAAAAGATATAGAAATTCCACAAAATGCAGCTAAATCTGCATCAAACTAAAAATGTAAGACAAAATGATTCAAAAAAATGCTAAAGCTAACAAAGAAGTATTTCATAAAATATAAGAAAAAGAGAATTTTGTCACATAGGGCAAGAGACCTAAACTGCCGTCAAACGAGCTGAATGTATAACAACTACAAAAATTAGCCCACAAATCAAACACAAACTGTAGCAAAATAAGCTAAGGAAATGGCACAAGCTTTCGCCATGAAAAAGCTAAAAAAGCTAAAAAGAAACAATAAAAAAACAAACTGCACAAAATGCAGCCAAAACAGCTTTAAAAAAACTGCGCAGTTGCATAAACCGGTTTGCCAGCTGCCTCACCCTCTGCCTATCACGCCCTCTGCGTAAGCCCTTTTTGGCCAGCCCACTTGCTGCCCTCAAAAGCTGTTGCTCCTGCTCGATCTCTCTCTATCACTCTCTCTCTCTCTCTCTCTTTCTGTACCTCCAACTGTTCCCCTCTCCCTTTCATTCTACATCTCTCGAGCTAAACCCAAAGATCATGTCCCAGCCAAATGGGCTGTAAATCATTTAGCGGCTATTTTGTTTGTGCCCAAGCTGAGGAAAAGAGAACGAAACGGCCAAGAAATATCTGAAAAATGTCACGCTTGACTTTATGTTATTCTGCGTCTTCTGCTTGTTCCTCCTTCATTTGCTGGTTGAACAATTTAATAACACAAAGAGGCAAAGAACAGGAAGTAATTAAAGCGTTAAGTGACCAATTCAAAAATTGCAAAGCGTAAAGATAGCAAGCAGAAAGAACTTTATATTTAATTTTTAAGAAAATTTTTGAAATTATTTTAAATTATGTTTTAATTTTCCGCCAAGTGTGAAAATTGCTTCAAGCATAGATGGCGCCAACAAGCTCAAAAACAAATCACCTCCAATTATTTTATAAACATAATCAATTATTTCAAAACATAATCCAAACATAGATGGCGCCAGTTAGAAGAGACGCAAACCAATTCAAAATGTCAAATGTTTGCTGACTACATCTTAGTCAAGTTACAAAACCAGCAAGCAGTGAAGAAATCGATTCCTGTAAAGGTTTATGTCTTGGATATGTCACAGTTTTAGTAGTACTGAAGTCTACTGTATTTTTATACAGTAAATACACACTATAATTTCCACTCATATATGTGATATTACTAAGGTATAGAAAATTTAGTAAACTATACAATTAGGTAGAGCGTCTATACAGGGTTACATATGTATACATATGCATATAGGCCATCTGTTCTGTCATCACCTATTCATTATTGTTTGACTGCCTTTTTTAATTCACAATAAAAGCAGCCCCAACAACTCATTTCGTATTTGCCATTTCGAAATTTAAATTTTGAAATTTGTTATTGGCTTTTCCAACTAAAAGCTAAAAAAAGAAGCCAAAAAGCCAAAACACTTTGATGCTGGCCGCAATCGAGCCAAGCCGAGTTTTGTGATCTTGTGCGAAATATATTTAAAGTGCTTTAATGGATTTACGCTTCGCTTTTGGTCATCGTGAATTGATAATTGTGAATTGCTTATTGTGAATGTAGATCACGATCAAATGGCCGCAGCCGCAAATGGAGCGCAAACAAGACGAGTTTCTCACCTGAGTGAGGCGTGTCAATTGGAAATTGAGTAATTATACACCTCAGCTGATGATG